ATATGGTTTTAATTTTGAAAATGTTATTCATGTAAGATCTCAAAGTCTCTGACCCGCTGTATGAATGATTCTTAGTTTTACATCAGAGCCTGGAGTTCAGAACACACACGCACACCTTTACATCTGGTGCTTTTATGAATCATTTCAAGGAACTGTTACTAAGCAGCAGCAGCGGCTATATCATGGCTACATTTTATGAAGAGGAAGGGCTGCGCTGCTTATTTTGCTTCCAAAAAATTCATTTTGTTTTGCGTTCCCAGAAGGTACTTTTTTTCTCCAAGAAGGTCAAGCAGAAACATTGATGTAAGTCCTGTTTATGGCGGTTTTGTTAGATTTCCAGCAATTGCAATGGAACATATTTATAACAAGTTTGTTTTTCTCTAGGGTGATACCATTAGTCAAAATATGTTTTCTCATATTTCCACTGCATAAACACAAATTTCTTTTAAGATTCAAGCTTACTGGTCTTGATGATTCCCACAACCATGTCTTGTAAGTGGTTCACAAGGTCATATAAGCCCTGGTTTCAACCCAAGATGGAAGGTGTTTGTTGGGAGAGCTAACCTTGACCAAACTAGAATAATTTTGTGTGTTGGCTAAGCTGTTGTCCTGAATACAATGGCAACCATGACCAGTCCAATATTTTAAATGTGAGGTTTCTGATTGAATGAACTAAAGTTTCCAAACTTGTCCTGCTTCTGTTTTGTTTCTTTAGTTACAGATACTTCCTGAAGCAGAGGTGTCCAAGATATGGCCCATAGGCTATATCTGGCTCACAGAACCTTATCATCTAGCCCGTGATGTGGCTCATGCACCTCAGACTGGTTCGAAATGCTGCATGTGGTGTGTACTGGCCCTGGCCACCAACCCCATGCAGTGTACATGGCATGTGGGGCCAGGCACGGTGCTTGCACTGCACTGGGTATACAGGGGCAGTCTGGGATGCACTCTACATGCAAGGCACAGAGGCAGTCCAGCCCTGCACAGGGGCACACAGGGCCAGTCTGTGGGCTGGTTCTGGCCCGCAGGTTGGCCCCATGCCACTCATTTGCCCCTTGGACCCTGATGAGTTTGATACCCTTGTATAAAATGTACTTACATGGCCTCACTATCATAGTATCCTATGGTCTCACAATTTTTAATATATGCAATGTGCCAATAATGGACCAGTCATCCATACTTGTTCACTTCTATTTAATTACAGTTACCAGCCCTGCATACAGTTCTCTTCCAGGGTTTCTAAACTAGTAGAAATTGTAAAGAAACAAACTTTCCTGTGATTTCATGACTGATGAAACATGAGGAAAAACTTTGAACTACCAAAAGCAAATGGTATTATTGGGAAAACAGAGGGTGGGGAATATCCAGAAGTTCTATTACTCATCATAGTAGTGGCATAATGACCATATATTGTTTCCAGTCCACCCCAACTTCTGTTTAAACGAACATCAAAATGAATTCTTGCAAAATCAAGAGGCAACTATTGATCAAAACTTCAATGATTTTGTGGACATCTAGAGTAGTAACCAACCTGGCATGAACAAGCTGAAAGAGGAAAATCAACAAGTTCTCAAACTTTTGTGAAGTCTGAATAGGATTGGGATTTAAATATGCGTTGTCAGTCTTGTTATAGGTTTATTTGGCATGAATATGTGAATCAAAGCCAGAATCTGTGAACAGAACAGTAACTATATTTTGATATTTGCATAAATAAGAATAGAATTTTAAAAGAATTTTGATAGTTGTCTTTAACTTATTTCCTGTCAACAAAAATACATGTTCAAAACCAAACTCATATATTTTAAAACAGGGGTGGCCAACCTGTGGTACAGGTGCCACAAGTAGCATAGGCAGCCTCTGTGTGTAGCACCCAGAAGACTGGGGAGGGGAGGGGCACACAGTGGCAGATAGGGCAGGGAGCAGAAAGCTAAGGATCAGTTCAGGCAGGGAGTACAGGGCAGGAAGCAAAAAGCAGAGTAGCAGCCTGGGCAGGGAGCATAGGGCAAGGAGCAGAAAGCTGAGCAGTAGATCAAGTAAAGGAAAAAGATCTGTGGTACTTGGGGAGGGTGAGAGGCTGATTTGTGTCCTGCCTACCCAAAAAGTTTGGCCCCCACCGCTTTAAGGCTCTTTCTGCCAAATACAAACATACAACTATATTAAATATGAGTAAAATTTAGAAGCACCAAAAATAAAAGCCGCCTTCATCATAGCATGATTAAAATGCAGCTGCAGACATATGCTTTCCCATTTCTGACCATGATAATATTAGCCAAACCTGTATGGCCACAGGTCAAAGTGCATTGAAACAGAATTTCAGGAGTGAAATCCCAGTGAATAGCATTAAGGGCGTTGTTATGTATCACCATATTACTAAAACTAACTACAATTTAGCAGGAGCAAAAGTTGGCAAAATAGTGCTTAATTTAGTCTGCCAATGTTTATGAGCACTCTTGGGGCTCATTAGTATTAAGAAAAAGAGAGAATCTTGTTATTTGTATTATGGCCTGAAAATTTCAGGCCAAAACTTGTTATCCATGCAACATTTTTAGAAATTTTTCTTGTTTTTCTCACAGAGTATAACTGAATTGGTAGCAAGATATGCCTTTCTTGAAGACTCTTTTTTCACTGTTCATTATATTGCTAGCAATTGAACTCCATGATGAACTGGGAACAGAGCTGCTATGTGGATTTTCTGTACTCTGAAGATGGAGTTTGAGTTTGGAATTTTAAAGTGTTTTTCTGTGCCTAAATATGAAGAGCAATTATTTTAGGATCAGTGACTTTGTACAAAAATATATTGGAAAATATTCATCACTAATACATCAGTCAATTTATTTTCATTGGTGAAGCTGCTATAGGGATGAATTTGGCCCATTGCATAGGGAACACAATTGCTCTTGAGAAACTGAAGTAGATTATGTCTGTACAGACAGAAAGAAAAAGGAACAAGGGCTTATGCTAGGAAAAAGGACGGGTTTGAAGTGTACATATAAACCCATCCAATCATCTCTGCCAACTGGTTAAATAGATTATCTCCTGAAAATAATATCATGGGAAATAAAGACAGAGGATGAACTCATGATTCCAGTGAGGCCAATGAGAGCTTTGCTGTTCACTTGTAGCCAGGAGTTCATACAGCATTTTGAAGGAACAATGTTCAGGACTAAAACCATGTGAAGAATAGTGTCTGTCTTTCCAAGTGCTTTGGCTGCTTCCTCTTCTTCTTCACAAAGCCAGGGTGTATGTGAGACTACAAAGACCAGGTCTGTGTCACACAATGGAGACATAGGAATGAGTACAGGAACTTATTAAGACAAAAGAATAACTGAAGAAAGTGCCCATTATGTTTAGCATAAAGAGGTAAACATAGTGAGAGAGGAAGCTGGGTTAGGATAGAGAAAGAGAAATAAAGAATGATGTCATTCATTTAAGTGGGCTATGGGGTCTTTCCTGATGACACCCCTACCCCCATGTCCCAAAGTTGTGGTAGAACATGCCCTTTTTAGATGAGGTGGAGAAATATGAGCGCAAAGAAGGGATGTGTTCAGAACAGCTGAAAGAAGGCCATAATTGGTTTAGGAGAAGAGATTAAAAAACTGCGTAAGTATAGTATGACTAAATGATGAATTATAATGTGATCTCCTAAAAGTATTTGAAAGCTATAGACACTAGGGAGGAAACAAAACTATTTGTGCTTGAGGTAGCAAGGTAAAACTGAAAAAGGGATAATGTATTATGAACACCCTGAAAAATAAGCCTTGAGATTTGGGGCAGAGTTAAATAACCTCTCAAGAGAAGTAGTGGATGTTCCCTTCAGAGCTGGGAGCTGGCTACCCATAATATACTGTAAAGAATCTCTCATGGTCAAAAGTGGGAATTAGCTCTCAATGTACTACTAGGCCTTTACCATTCGTAATTTTTGCAGTTTTGTGTGCTTGGTCATCTCCTATTATACTCAGATAATGAAGAGACTAACAGAGCAGGCCACAGATCTAGGGGATGAATAAAAACTTTGGCCCATTGTAACAAAGTTTATTTATGAACTGTCGGACACACATACTGATAGGCACTGCCATTGTTTTAGTATACATCCCCAACTGTTCAGAATGGAGAGCTAATGCATGACTTATTGTATGATAGCATAATAAAATGGTTCCTAGGAGCTGATAAACAAACAAGCATGAAGACTTGAGCCATTGTTTTACAAAGACAAATGTTTTAATATGTTTTTTTTTTTCAAAAAACTAAACAATCCCAGTGTCCTAGCAACAGCTACATAACTAATTAAGAATATCAGACTTCCCAGGCAGACATGGAGTTCACCATAGCTATCCAATTACTCCATCCACTATTTAATTCACATTATCATTGGGCTGATTATAAGACACGCACGGATCCTGTGCTGTTCAGAAGAAATGTAAGATACAAATGACTATGTAATATCATTCCTATGTACGAATGGTTCAAATGGAGAAGAAAGGAAGAAAACACATATTCACTAATAGTGGTACCACTGAAAAGGGCATAAAAGTGAGATTTATGTATTGAAAACCTGCCTTGCAGTTTGTAAAGGAGACAACACAATACACTGAGGAGCGTCCTACAGCACAGATTTGTATTCTGTAAAAGACTGAAGTGAAAGTTGCAAGACAGACTGCACACAGCCTTCCTCTGGCCATGGACATCCAGCCATGAGAGTGATCTTTGTGGACTGGGAAGTTGTGCATGTTCATCTTTCCAAGGCAAACTGGCAGAGCAGTTTGTCAGGGTTCACTCATATACCTATCATGTGGTATTACTTGGGCTTTTATTGGAATGAAAATCATTTAAAATACAGTAAAGAGTAAAGTAGAAAAATAACTGATTTTGCTTATGAGCTGTTGTGGCAGATTCTGAGAACTTTTACTTTAGAGATAAAAATGCCTCCCTATCAGTTTAAGATCTCTCCTTAATTTAAACCTCTGCATCTTCTGTGCCAGGGACCCTGACTGTGGACTTACCAGGAAGAAGACGACATTAAATCCTCACTGTCTCACTGTCTGCCCTCTGACATCTTGGTCCAGAGCAGAGCTGACATGCTGTTCTCCAGGTACTCCCTGGCAGATGTGCTGCTCTTGGTGCGCTTTCATGTGCCTGTGGTTTGGTCCAAGGACAGTGGATATGGTAGGTTGAGCCTTCTTGACCTCATCTCTACTGTGATAGTTTGGAAAGGAATAAAAGATTATCTGAAAGAAACTTCCTGATGCCAACAGATTAAACTTTGTCCCCACAAAAAAATTCTTAATTGAAAACAGAAACATAGTCAAGGACCATCCATACAGAAAATACACAATACAGAGACCACTCTTCATTTCCTAGGCTCCAGATCCAGTAGATATCAGCAGAGAAATGTAGAAAGATGTACTTTGACATTTAAAAAGCATGTGCTGTCTTTATGAGACTAGGCACACTGGTAATACAATCAGATGACCTTTCACCACTCAGCTGGCACTTGGGTTACAGTCCAAATGAACAGTGTATAAAAGCCATTCCCATCTGATGACTGTTTAGTGACCTATGTGAAATCAAATCTCATCTTAATACAGTTCCCAGTGATAGGTAAGGATGAGGGCCACCTCCACAAGCACCTCCTGCATAATCCCATCCTCCAGTAACAAATGACAGAGGTCCCAGATTACTCCTGGATGGCATCACCACAAGCTGGCACCTCTTGACAACAGCTGGCATGACCAGTTGGATCCTACAGCACCTCTGCAGAGCAAGGGGTTGCTACCCAGTCATGGCTTCTACCATGTGCTGAAAGAGACTAAACATTCCTGTCACCTGCTTCTCTTGTGAATTTTGAGCATGTGCTGCAAGACATGTTCCCCACTTGCCTGTATCCTTTGATCTAATCTACAGTTTGATGTTGGGCCTCGCTTCATAAGCAGATATATGAAGTCAGATATCTGGTTTGCTGAAGAGAAGAATACAGACAGTGTTGAGGCAATCCTAAATGAAGAATCGCATGAAACATCTAGAATTTGATGCTTAAGAGAATCAGTTTGTGAATTTGAAGGGATCATCACATTGCTGGAACACAAACTGTTACCTCTGAGCACCTTTCCTCCAACTGTGCATCTCAAAATATAGGATTACGACCTGTAGATACAGTAAGGTAAGATGCATGAGCAGACTATCAAATTGGTAACTTAGATGCACACCTGCTTGCCTTTTCTGCAACTTCAGGGAGAACTAACAGCATGGCCGTGCTGTTCTTCCTCTTCCCTTGAGATTTGTCCTCACTTTAACTGCCTTAAGGGGTGAAGCTAGCTATTTCCAATTTGCATCCATACTATCTGATCTGCTGCTTTCCCCATCCTCATGCACAGTCTCTAGAGCCCAAGGCAAAGATGCCATTATACTCAGCAGGCCAGGTGCAGTTTGAAAGATCTAGGAGAATGTTAATAAAAGCCCTGATGAAGAACAAAAAATAAACAAAGCTACTATTGCACCTGTAAGAGAGGCTGCCACCAGGAAATTAAAAAATTACACATGGCATATACTGCCTGCATACACCCATGAACTGCTTTTCAGTGTTGAAATAATGTCCATAATATGCAAAAAAGAGAAAAGAAAAGAGAATTGTGTAGACTGCAACAAGTTAACAAAAGAGCTGATCTTCCCTAGTAAACCCTTTGCGGTACTGTGATGACTACAAATTTGCTTAACCTTCAAAATATAGTGAAAGCTTAAAATGATCTTCCAGTGAATCATCTAATTACCTCCATTTCACCATGGAAAGTCTCACTGAATGTTAGCCTTGTGTCTCACCTCCAACATATTTAAATAGACTGATTTTGCAGCAATGTCATTTGAGGCATAGGATTAAAGCTCAAGAGTACATCAAGTTAAAATGGCTATAATAATCCACTGAGTATGATTTACCAGGGTTCAAAATGTAGAGGTGGGGGAAAAATAAAGGATCAAAAGGCCAGAATACTCAAAAGAACAAAATATTGAATGCAGATGATCCAAAAAGCTCTGTGCACCTGCCTAAAGTGCCCATATACAAACAGAAATGCAAGAGCTGGTGGGTGGGGAGGTTGCAGGGGGGAAGAGAGCACAAAAGTAAAGACTTTTTCTGCTGTGAAGAACAATAGTGAAATTCGCACTGACTTTAAAAGTAATTGGAGTTACATACCCACATTCAAATGATTTAGAATAATTCTCCTGAATTTGTTCTCCTGGGTAAGAAATACTTACCCAGAAATGCCTAAGCAGATATTTGAATGCTGGACCCCTGAAGAACAAAGTGCTTATAGTGTTGATGCCCCTATGCACACATCTCAGATTAATCAAGTCTGCTGGAGCGTGGAAATTATCGTGCTCCAGCAGACTCCAGAGTCCCATGTATCAGTGTCCCCGTGCTGGAAAATGGTAGTGGGGCACTTTAAACTAAAGCTTGTTTGATGAGCTTTAGTACAAAGCGCCCCGCCACCATTTTTCAGTGTGAGGACACTGATACACATAGTGCTCAAGGCACTAATTAGTGCCCCTTGCTCTCCTCCCTGCCCCCACCCGGAGCACATCTATAAATGCCCACAGTGTCTCCTGGTTGGAGAGGACAGGAGCAAAGCACCCTGAGATGATGGCTTCTGTGGCTTCTCCCACAAGAGAATGTGTACAGTTACTTACTGTCTTGGGATAAACGCTTCCAGAAGTGATTTAACCCTTGGGTTATTCTGGGGTTACTTTTCTCCGAGCAGCCATTTTTACTCTGGGAGAAAAGTCCTGAACATCTTTACACTCGTGGTGTATACTCAGTTACTCTCCCAGGAGAAACTAAATTTCAGATGAAAAAGTTGCTTACATACATGTACTATATTATAGAATTGTGTCCTATATACTTAGGTTGCCTAACACCTACCCACTTATAATTTTGTGTTTGAGAAGTTTTCATTACCTCTGTCTTACAAAGCAGGCCACTGAAATTCAGCATAGGGGAAGCTCTTATGCTAAGTAAGTGCCTTTTTGTCCCATTATATCCCACTGATGTTTAGCTGACTAATGAGCAGATAAGAATCAGCATTTTCCTTTACTCCCTTCTGCTACTCCAGGAAGTTTTGGCAGTATGCCAAAATAATAACTGAATATGAACATTTTAATGATGGAGGCCCCACATGGCCACCAAAGTAGCACCCGTCCAGGAAAAGCTGGGAACCAGTGTACTAGCTGTAGCAGTAGACTCTTGCTTCAGCAATTGGATCTAGTACAGGGGCCTAGGATCCCAGCCCTGCTTTGAGGGCACCAGATATGAGAACAAGGCTGCCAGTTCCTGAAGGGGTGCAGACATGTAGGCAGTGCTTTCATAGACATTAGGGCTGGAAGGGACCTTGGGAGGTCATCAAGTCCAGCCCCCGATAATCCTCTGGACACAGAACATTTCCCCAGTAACCTATTTCAACCCTCTCTGGAAGTACTACATGGGCAGGGTCTTCTACTTCCCGTAGACAAGAGAGTGAAACGGAGTAGATTCATTTTAACCATCACACACCCAGCACCTGCACCCACAGTCCATTTCCTAGTATAATAATAACCTTCTGATGTGGTCAACTAACATAGTCCTGTAGTTCAAGAAGTTGAAATCTGCTGAAAGTGCAGAGTCAAATCCAAAGGTCTTGCAGAAGGAAGGTTGTTACCATTATCCATAATAGCATTTGTTTTTCCCTTTTTCCTTAAAAGAATAGGAAATTAGATACAGAAAGTATCCTATAAGAATATTATTTAGGTTGCAGAGTCAAGCTTTCAGAAGTCAGGAAATGTCAAATGTATGGTTTTTCATACAACTTTATCCTGATTTTCAAGTGCTTGACTTTGCAACCTAAGTATCTAGTGCAAGAGTCTTTAAAGAGATTGCCTACGCCCCCAGGGAATGAATGAAGAGAACAATCATGGGAAAAAATGTTCTGAGAACAATAACTGGGAAAGGGTACAAATTTTATAAAGCATGATAGAACAGGTGGCCTTTTTCATCTCCTCGGATTTATTTTATTGTACCTACCACCACTGAAAACCGCAAATTTCACTTTCATGTTTTACAAGGGAGCAGCCAGCTCTGACTGAGTGACATTGTGTGGACTCCAGCACCCTCTCATGGTCTGATGCTATTAACTGGTTCTTTCCAATTGTATACAGAGTGACCACACTTAAAATGTTATGAGACAAAATTTGTCTGCTAATGGCTGCTTTTTCATTTGTTCTGTAATACCTTGAGACAATAGTGCCCAACCTTCTGGCCCCGGTAGCCAAATGATTGGTGCAGGGTTGGTCCATGTGCTGGATCCTGCACAGGATCAGTTTGTGGGTAAGACCCTGCATGCCCAGATCCAGCTGTACATGCCTGGATCCATCTGTGCACTTGGGCAACGTAATGCTCAGGGTCACATTATCCAGCCTGCAGGGCTCCCCCATGGGTCTGGAAATTTGGTATCAGGGGAGTGGCAATTAACACTGCCAGCACTCGCGAACACCAAATTTCCAGATAAGTGGGGAGCCCATGTGGACTGGATGATATGGCTTCATAGGCCAGAGCTATCCTGTGGGATAGGGGTTGAGCACCCCTGCCCTACACACATTGTATAGGGCAGGAAAAGTTGCAAGAAAAATCAAATTGCACTACACAATGTGTCTCTGCTCAGGAACATGCCAATAGAGCTGTGCCCTCTGAATGCCTGTTATTTCCAACTCAAATTATTATAAGCCAGCAGCTTGAATGTAATGGTAGTAGAGATACTATAGTGCAGGGGTAGGCAACATTTTTGGCCGGAGTGCTGTAAAAACCGCAATGTCTGCCTTGTAAGGTGCCAGAGTGCTGGCATACCAGAAAAACAAAACCAGGGTGGGGGGTACATGGCAAGATGCACTGCATATGGATATAGTTAATAATCATAAATATTGCTTTTTTTAGAGTAAATACAAGGCTTTCTAAAAATTCTAAACCTGGTGACAGTAAACAAAACTTTATATTCTGCCTTTGTTCTTGTGTATTCTTTTTTTGTTAAACTTGTTGTGATGACAGAGAAAAGAGGA